AATTGTAAGGTCTCTTTTTTTTAAATCATTTAAAAAGGTTTATATAAGCAACATACGAAACATAACAACATTATACTTCTTTTTGACTCTAAAATTTTGTCAGCGCATGGTCTTTTTTCATTGGATCCGATACGTTATAGCAGTAATAATATAGATGCAACGTGGCTATTTCACACCAAGCTGCGACTTTTAAAACTTTCTAAATTGTTTCCTAAGATTTTTAATGTTACAGCTTTCAATAAAAAACCTACTCCTTTTTAAAAGATGGGCAATGCCCCTGCAATTACTCTGATGTTGCAGTTGTTCATGGGCGGTAGTAGACAATAACCATGAGCTGCATGCTCATTTGCCTCCCCCCTCCCCTTCTATTAAAACGTAACATTATACATCCCATTGTGGGGCATAGACTTCCTCTCACTTTTGCAAGGGTTATGGAGCAATATATCTGAAGCGCTACTCCAAGGATTATGTAGTAGCAGGTTTCACATCATGATCAAACGTAACGTTTTTTACCTTCCTGATATAATTTTAACTTTTTCGAGTATTTTTTTAATTCGAAACTATAACAAAGAAAACTGAATGTTCATGTTTAGTCAACGCCCGGTTCTTCATCAATATGTATTTTTACATAAAAATATCTATTAAATGATGTAAACACTTTCAATTCGAATGATTTATTTCATCTCAAAAGTCACATACACTATGTTATAAACAATCAAATGACGCTTGTGCTAAAAAATTGTTTTAAAATTATAATCATTTAATCACTTTCAGTCTCGTTGGCTAAAGTATTCGTTGCATTGAGAATAGTTCCAACAATTTTCTTTATTGCCTTCCTTGTACCTTGTCTTAGTAATGTTAACTTGAACTGCATCAATACTATCAAGTATGTTGACATATATGATATGTTCTGAAAAGAAAGCTTTTGGTTAAAACTCGTTACTCAATTGCTTTTTCCTTCATAATTTGTAGAGAGAAAAGAATTTACACCACACATTGCCTTTTTTTGGGTTCTTTAGTTATACAATAAGGAATCCTCATAATTTCGCCATGTCCATCCGTCCGCGGTTTTAAATCAAAGACCCTGGATGCAACAAGTCTGTAATTTGGCATGGTTATAAATATCAACCACGTCTACAAAATCGTGAAATAAAATCGTAAAAAACATTTTTATTTTGGACACCTCCCATACAGGTAAATGGAGTATGATGTTTTAACCTGTTTATTCCTTCGTATGGGGTATCCTTGGATAGGCTTTTGAAAACATTATGAGGATGCAACATCTCTTGTATTCTGAGGTTCCATTTAATATTTAGGTTTTAATTGCTATTTTTCATTAGAGTCATGTGTCGCCACCTGTTGTTTTTGCCAAACCGTTGTTTTTGGAGATGTAAAATGTATCCACAACAGTAGAATATATAATGGAGTTAAAAGGAAAACTTTCATAGCTAAATAGAATTAACGAGTTAACGAGTAATAGTCCACCGACTTATAAAACGTACTTGAATTAGTAAATGACTTATGTACTATATTACTATTACTACTATAACCTTACTTTTTTAGTTGCGGGATAGGCAGGGAGGATCTTTCTTACTTGCTTACTACTTTCGCTTATTTTTAGTTTGTAGTTATTGTAGTCCTCATTCAAAATATTCATACAAACATATAGCCTCGTACAGTTTCATTCGTCATACTCTTGGTTTACGCGGGCAACCCTCAGGATAATTTCAGACGGTGGTTGTTTCCGGGAGTGTGTGTTACAGTCAATATTTCTTAGGAATTGCACTGCTAGGAATATATACATAGAGAGTCTACTATGACTATCTTTGTACGGATTTGGCATGTGAATAATTTGATGTAAATTGTATTACTTTAAAAACTAAATGTGTTTTTAATCTTTTTCGAATACCACTCTATATAAGTCTGATTTTAAAATAAGTCATTCAGTTACTATCTTCCTATTTGGGTCCATTTTAAGTCGTTATAAAGGTCAAACCGCGAACTCACTGATTATGCTCATTATCAAAAGGCACTTATATTTACTCATTGTGCGTGGCCTGTCACGCAATTGGTCATTTTTATTACAGAATAAGGGTTACAAACAGGCACAGTTTTTTTTAAGTTTTTTCAGTCCCAGTGATGGTAAGTGGATACCGTGGCCCATAGACATCTACATCTTTTCTTAATTAAGGATGAAAATGCAGATATGTTGTCACCCCTGAGGACTAAGATGCAATGCCTTGTTTCCACTAAAGAGGTTTTCTATAGTCACCATACGAAACATAACAGCTTTGAACTACTATTTCACGCTGCCATTCTGTGAAGGCGTGGTTTTTCCCCGGTGGAGCCGACCCATTCGTCGTACAAGAGGCAATCGCAAAAGTCTCCTAAATCAAAATACATTGAAGTATATTGAATTAAGTTGAAGCATTAAACGCAATTAATATGCAATAATAACAAAAATTGCATTCGCTCGAATCTCTGGTTGGATACCGTGGGTTCGCCGACGTAAGTTTTTAACCTGTACAATATCAAAGGGTCAATTTTTCCATCTTAATTTATATCTCAAAGACTACACCTATATGCTATCCAATAAGCATAAGTATATAATCCCGTATTTATCAGATGTATAATACCTAGTCTGGCGACAGGGAACAATGTCTAATTTCTCTTTCTTCGATAATGCATAGACAAAATTGAATTTACACCACATCTCATCTGATGCGATACATCGGATTCTGCAATTCGCCCACCAAGCGAGGCGATAATGTCTTTCCTCCTATGCGATAAGCCCGTGTTAAGCAATGTAAGAGAAAGCACAAAGAAGAAAAAAGGTCAAATTATAGGGAAAAGTAAACCTTACCATTTATTAATACACATTACGAGCTATATGTTTTATTACTGTACGCGATGATGTCATGTTCTATGATCTATATCTCATTTAACATGGATTTGTTTATGACCCTATTTATATTTTGATGTTCATACTTTTTTAACTTTATTATTATATTGATTTTCATTTGCCATGTACGTATATGTACATTTTTATTATGTATCATAACACTAGTTACTTAGCGGGGCGCGGCGTTTAAAAAACCAGCCCTCGCGCGTCTAAAAAAAAAGGCCCCCCCCAAAAAAACCCGAAAGAGGAAAAAAAACACCCCCCCCCCCACACCCGGAGGCGTGTTTAGTATGTATATGACGTGGAGATTAATTCGATAAGGCACCACCATAATACTATTAAACGCTTTATATGCCTTGGAATACATTTACACGACGTTCTATATTTATCTTTAACTTATGATATGCCATACCATTCAAAAAGCTCAATAAATTAAACTTTTAATCAAAGTAAAGGCAAGGCTATCTTCAAAAAACTAAGAAAAAAAATAATTTCTACAGAACAGCTTTCTGAAGTCGGGGCTTTAATTCTTCTATTCTTATACTTAGCATAGATTTTAAAAGCGTTTATATGGAAATAATTTTATAAGTTCTATGGAATCGGCTTATATTTTTTTTAAATATCTTCAAAAAAACTAAGAAAAATAATAATTTCTACAGAACGGCTTCTGATGTCGGGGCTTTAATTCTTCTATTGCTATTCTTAGAATCGATTTTAAAAGCATTTATATGAAAATCGTTTTATGAGTTCTATGGAATCGGCTTATATTTTTTTTAAATAAATATCTTCAAAAAACGAAGAAAAAAATCATTTTTTTCTTTTATTCTTTATTCTTATATAGAACATATTAAGTAAAAGAAAAGCTGTAAGTTGTAACTGCAGCTCTTTGATAATTGTAACTAACTTTACTTCAAACTTCGAAAAGGTTAAAGTGTCTAACAGTTTGCAATCATACTGAATCTCCACACTCCTTAAACTGTGACAGTACCTGAACAGAACAATGCACTCTTGCTTGACTTCCAAAGCATACAAGATGATGTACAGCCAGATAAAGTTGCAGGCACAAATAGAACAATATTACCTTTTTATAGAATAAGGTTGAGAAGCGAACACACAGTCCGCCTGATCCCGTTCCAACACATAAATATTTACATGTGTCCCCGAAGAACCAACATATAGATGCATTGTCACCCTTGAGGACTAAGATAGAACGCCTTAGCTCTCTACACTCACTTTAACAAACAGAGCATTATTCTGCTGGTTTCTGTAAGAGCGTGGAACTACCTCGGTCGAGCCGACGCATTCGCAGTCATTATATAGCCGCAGCTTAACTCTATCACGAAAAAAAACGTATTAATATGGTAATTATATCAATATTAATAATACTACACCATAATAATAATACCTCTGGGTGACAAGCGTGAGTTTATGTACCAACGTACCTATTGTATTAATTTAAACGTAAAAAATACCTTTTTTATTCGTTTATAATTTAGGTCTAAAGGTCCTAATATTAAGTGTATTTAGTTTAAAAAATTAAAAAATGGCTTACAGCTGCGAAGAGTTCGCGATTAATGTTAGTAAACCCATCCAGATTCATTATGGGCGGGTTTTTAGCTATAGCCACCAAAAACATTTCCACTTCTCGTTGTGTGCTTCGATCGATCGCACCCAAATTAACGTTCAACAAACGAACTTGAAATTCAAACCCAACCTGTTAAAATAAAAATCCGTTAAAATTAATACCGTTAGGTTGTCAACATAAATACAAATATACTGAAATATCACTGTATTAAAGACCTTTCTTGAAGCGTGATACGCTTCATTACATATGAGGTAAAGAAGGGTCATGCAATATCCGACTATAACAAATAATCCCATTTCCTTATAACTGAGGCCGCGCTCTAATATTTCGGAAAGAGAGCCGTAGAGCGAAATTATCGTTGTGAAGAAAATAACCATGCAGTAAATACCGTACATATTCGAATAGGCCCTACCTGCAAATAAGAAAGATCCATAAATCATTTTTCCTTCCTGTTATAATTCTAATATAATCGTTTTTAAAAACCATTAATATTTTAGAATATGTTTATATATTCTAATCACTTGGCAATACATTACCTAGTTGTTGCATCATATGAGATAGGTCAACCCATAAATGTCGGTACTGTGCTAACTTCAAAGCAGGATTTTCTGCTTGAAGAGCTTTATGTAAATTTGACGCTAAACCCTTTGAGGCTGTTCCAAAAGCATTGCAGTTAATGTACCTGTAAAGACAACATTAAAATTTATTTTAAAATATTAATATTTTATTAGTTATCAACTGCTCGGGCTGGACAGAGTAACTGGCTTCGACGTCGTAGATCGTGAGGCCAAATTTGCTTTAGAATCTAAACTTTTCGCAGAAAGGTAACGTCTAGCACAGAGTACGCTGTGGATAGCTTTTGACAGTAAACAGAAGTTATCGCCGTAAAAAGGATTAACCAAGAAAATGTATGTAGTATATAAGCATCTGTTTAAAATACTAATATTCTAAAGTAAAATGTAGAGATATTTTTGTCAAAAGATATAGAGAGAGCATAGTTGCAAATAAAATTGTTGTAAGTTTCTTCAATAAGCTTAAATATTAATGAGCATCAGAATCGTTTGAAGATTTAATATTTGAAACCCTTTGCGAATTTACTTGAAACTTAATGAGTAAGCTACGGTGAAAACTATTCATTCGGCTTGAATATTAAATATTCTGTGATTAAATCAAATCGTCCATTAAATACTATATCCCAAATGAAAATCAAAACTCATATTTCAAATATTAGAAACATCTGAAAGTGACACCTTTCGAAATTTTATACACAAATGAGTATATATTATATATTTCACCTAATGATATAAGTGAATGTCTTTTTTGTCCTACTTCCAGTGAGGCTTAAATTTTTTGTTATCACCACTGAGGACTAAGAACGAAATCATCAGATAAACTGGTATTCGGTTCTCGTCATTAACCATATTACACCAATAAAGTATCATTATACCGCTATTTTACGCTGGTATTCGCCGAGTATGGCCTCTCTCCTATCAAACCATCCATTCGTTGCTACAGTTAGCAAACAATACGGCTAGAGCGTGCATCTATCGTTCGAAAAAAACTCAGATTTTTTTCCCGGGGCCACCAAAAAAACTTTTTTTTAAAAAACAAAAAAAAAACCCAACAAAAAAAAAAAAAAAAAAAAAAAAAAAAGGGAAAAATGTTAGTATTCTGTTTTACTTGACATTTTACGACTTGACGTATAATCCATACCTTCGATCTCATAGTGTAAAATAATCATTAGTTACTGGAATGACATGGTAATAATTCCTTTTCTCCAAAGACGTAGAGAAAAAGACAGCATCACTCTCCATAACTCAAGTGTAAGGCTTTAATTTGGTGTGCCTCACTACTACACGTGAAATAAGGACGAAAAATCTAGACCTACATATTAAAATTGAAAAGGTGCTCGTAAAGGTCACTGTTGTTAGTAGTATTAGTGTACGAAAGAGTTCCCGTCAGCAAAGGGCAAAGGTAAAGACTGTGAGACCATACGCTGTAGGACCGCTAACTAGAATAATTGTCAAACAAAAACAGTTAAATTTCAAACAAAATAAATATATACACGGGAGTATACATCTACAGAAATATATGCCCTGGATTTTTAGTAATTTTTCCATATGTAAAATGGTTTATGGCGTCATTAACATAATCAGAACACCATTATTCTTTGGATATCTAAGATTATAAGGCATTCAAGTTTATTGATAATTGAGTTCTCCAGATAATATAAGACGTCTTTGACATCTGTTTACAATCACATACTTAAATTCCCAAACGTTTACCATATTAACAAAAAAAAACTTTTTAAAAAACAAAATACAAAGGAAAAACTAAACTATAACAATATATGTGTATATTTGTTTTATTATATGTAACAATTAATATATGTGTATAATTATGTTTATAACATTTAATGCAATTTGTAATGTATATGACTTGTACTGAAAGATATTTTAACTCAATTGCACTTTGTACCCACAATATCGTCTCTGCTTAGCCGGGAAGTAGACTGGCAGAGAATGCCTTGTTGCATTAAGCCCGCCTTTTTGTACTCGGTGTGCAAATAAAGCATAAATAAATAAATAAATAAAAATGTCGTGTGATGGCTGCGCGGCGTAAAAGAATTCATTACCTTATTTCGTCCCGTGGCTGTCGTAAAAGTTGATTGTAGTCAGTCAAAAACACCTTATTGTTTCCGATAGATGATGTTATAAGCATTTCGTTTACTTCACGCGTAAAATATCTAAACCAGCGACGGAAAACAGGGTCTAAAGCTCGTTTGGAACTGCTGTTGTCAATCTACCCGTTAAGCCTGACTATTAAGGTAAAACTCCAATAGGTTTTTATAAACTAGTAAAAAATAAAAATAAACTAAAAATATTATGTACCATAGTGAACAGAATCCATCAAGCATAGCAATAATATGATAGTAAGCCAACGAGTGCCACAGTTCGAAGTCGTCTTGTAGGTAATGTTGCGAAAGAATGACAGCAACACTGAGAGCCCACGAAAATACACACAGGCCCCAAGTTAACCAATAAAGATTTGGAAAAACTATCGGAGTTCCGGTGATTTTCAAATACTTTAGCTGCAATAGGAAGATTTTCAAGATTTATTTTATGAATTTAAATTTACTTTTAAATAAAAATGTAATTAATATTTTTTCCTTTCTTTATAAAAGTAAACAACTTAGGGCTGATTTTTCAATCAACAGATAAACGATTTCCATCAAAGATATGATAAAGTAACTGGATATAAAATTTAAAAATTTTTACTATTTTTAATACAACCGTAATTTTTAATTCCTTTATGTTCTATTTTATCTTAAAAATATATTTTTTTTGTTGATTGAAAAATATGGCCTTAAAATTAACTGTTAATCGACAAAGAAAATTGTCAGGAAGATGTCAATATTCCTAAGAGATAGTGGTACAACTATATTAAACAAAATTATAAAACCAGAAAGCGATGAAAAGAGTCATGATGCAATTTTTTTAGTTTATCGACCAAATTGAGGATATTTTGAAAATGGGACATTAGAAGTACCTTTAACCGACGAGCGTGTGCGTAGATATATGGATGTAAAGGAGGTATGTCAGGATCGTGCCAAATGGAAGTCCGTAGTCTCTGCCTACCTCTCCAGTGACAGGCGTGAGTGTTTATGTTATGATTTATTGATGGAATAATTCACTAACTTACTCATCAGAAACCTATGATATCTCTAGTTGACTAAGAAAATTGAAATTTGGCATGAATAGCAAATAGGCGCACAGAAAGTTAAAAGTGTGTAAACTAATTTTCATATAAATCTTATAAGCAGTAAATATTTAAAGAAAAGAATGGAAAAAATTATTGAAAGTTGGAAGTCATAAATTTAATAGGTAAAATCTAAAAACATGAATATCAAAAAAGAGTCAATTTTTGTACAAACTACGATCGGGATTATCGGACTCATATATTAAACTTTTGTATAAAATAGAACAACTAAATAATTAATCTTTTATTCAATATCATTACGTCAAACGCGTATTACTGAAGATGGGCCAAATTAAGAGTATCAGGATTGTTACAAATGAGTATTCGTGTTCTTTGGCTACTCCTCTGGGTGACTCAATAATAAGAAATAATAGAAAGAAATACATAAACACTAAACACTCACGCCTGTCACCCAAAGGGGTAGGCAGAGACTTCCATTTGATGAACGAGATGACGATCCTGACACACCTCTCTCACCTCTTCCACATCCATATACCTACACATACATACTCGTCGGTTAAGGGTACTTTTAATTAGCCCATTTTTAATATATCGCCAATTTGGTCGACAAACTTTCGCCTAGGACGTCCCTTTCCGACTCTTCCATTTACTTCTGCAACATATATTTGCTTTGTCAGTCTTTCCTCATTAATTCTTTCTACATGACCAAACCACCGAAGCATTCCAGGAAGAAATAATACTTTATTTAAATACACACATACCAAACACACACAAACGCAAGAGATTTAAATATTCACACATGAAACACTATGTGCAGTTTCACTAATAAATAAAATAATTCATAAATAAATTTAATTGACATAATATAGATTTTTCAAAAGAATGCAAGAATAGTGAGATAAAAAATGTTCAAGAAATGATATAGAAATATTGTTCCGTAAAACTAGAAAGCTTCAAACAAGGATAATCCTGTATAAACATAACAATTATTATTTTAAATCGATCGCAGAACGTTGTACATTTATATACTATGATTTAAGGAACTGCTATAAAATTTGGTACTCGTTCGGATCTCAACTCTTTTATCAAAGAAGCCTGATCGTCGTTTTTACTAATCTACGCACATTTCTCACATTGTTTTAGTGGGATTATTTTATACAGAAACATCTGTCATAAATTTTTGAGTGTTTTTATTACTTTTCCTATGGCGGAATAGTTACTTTAACGCTCTCTTAGAAATGAGAGGCGTTTGTATGCAGTAAAAGCTGTTAAAAACGTTTCAATTAAAGGTTTGAATGAATATTGCAGGGAATTCGTTAAATAAGTATAAATATTTAGAAATTCAATTCAAATATTGCACGTGTTTCGTGTTGTTACATCTTCTTTTCATGTGTTTATGACCTTACGACACGAAAAAATGTTGTGTAATATTTGAATTGTACTTTAAAAGTTTGAGATATCAAACGAAACCGTTGCAATATTTATTTAAACCATTACTTCTAACTTTGTTATTCAAGCTTTACCTGATAATGCGTCCACATGTTCTTGAAAATAGCTACTTGGGGTCCGTGACGCCATGATGCAATCGGCAAAAGAAAGTGCGGAATGAGAATACTAAGAAATATTATATTGTAGATAACTTCATCGAAGCGTTTGTTGGAATTTTCTTGGAAGTTAGTTAGTCTCTCCTTGCCAACTAAAACAATTAAACAATATGTTAAAAAAGCGAAAGTAATTCAATTGTTAAGGGTGCGAATTGCAATACTAAAAAGCGTTACACTGGCATGAACTACTCTTCATAAGCATTCAAAGCTTAGTTTGAGTGGCTGATTGAACTTGTCTACTTAAAACTTTTTCGCAAAATAATTAAAAAAAATTGCGGTTGTCAATCCGTGGCAGCTAGACAAAATACCTCCTCTATGAAGAAATCTATAGGCTCTATGTTTAGCTGTGGAATTTTAGTAGGCTGGAAAGGTGGTGATGATGTTGACAAAGAGTTTTGTGACAAAGAAGCACATAGCGTAGAGTTAGGTTTAAAACAAGAAATAAAGTTCAAATAATGATAAGTGGATGTACCCATAGACTCGTGCATATATTCTCCCCTGAGGACTAATAATGAAGGTACCATTATCAGCATAAAAACAGTCTCTGGTTCTTTTAACACACTACAAGTGCAAGGGAAAATTGCACAGCTATTAAGGTTAGTTAAGTCTGAGCGGGCTCCAACCTCATATTCATTTTTTCCGCTACCAACTGCTGTGTTTAGGTTAGAAGGATAACAGACAAAGAAATTTCGATGGATTTCACCTTAACTCTCGAAGGTTACAATGGAAGTGGCAATTCCTTGTTTGAATACACGAGTAGCCACAAATATCCAAGGACGGCTTATCACCAGATAAAATTAGCTCATCAACCACCATATTGTATTATATAAAATGTTAAAATTTCAACACACAACGCTACTCTATATTTTTATCAACATGGATTTCTGGCGGCATTTGTGATTAATATAGCTTAACTTGCCTTTAACAACCATAATACATTCTAGACTCCACACTAAATATGCCCATAAAGTTGCTTTCGATAACCAGTTGTACGTAGTACGTTTTGTTGTTTTGGCGTCTGTAAACAAATTTCATCATTAATTTGCTTTAAGGTTTTGAATAATACTGATTATATTAATTATGTTATATTTTAATGTATTAATGTACATATTTTATAGTATATGCTTATAATACATTTTTATAAATATTTATGTATTCTGACCTGATGAGAACACAATAGCAATACCTCATATTAATCATGTCAGTGTGTGTAAAATACAAATACACTTCATTTGTGACTTTGTTTTTTTCTCTCACCAGTTATAATCCTTTTTTGTTTAATTTGCGTTTCAATAATAATCCTGATGTACCTTGTCACTTTGACTCAGAAACCCATTACCGGTCAGAGTATTTTGTAACTAACGTACAGGAGATGGATATTTTCCTTCTTTTCACATTGAAAGAGAAATTGAGCAATAATCCATTACTCAATCTTAGATTGAGTAATAGATTATCACTTAATTACTCTTGCCACATCAAGACAAACTTTACCAATCTATAAGTTTGGACAGGCTAGCGTTGTAAGGGCATATTATGCGAAGGCATGAATGAGTAAACCACGTAACAAGAAGAATGTTAGCTATGAAAGAGAATGGATATCAGAGTAGAGGGAGGTTTAAGAAAAGATGGATGGACTGTTCAGGAATGATATGCGTTAGAAAGTCGGATCAAATAGAGGGTATATAAGTACGGCAAGAAGAAGAAAGGTATGATGATTCCTCTACAATTACTTGTACAAGTTTTAAACGTCTGAAGTTATTGAATGAAGTCACTTCGGTGTAAACGTTGAGCTAATAATTCCTATTTAAGTTCTATTAAATTATTTTACGAAAAGTTTTGATGTTGATATTTTTCTGCATTTTTAAACCTTAACTTATTTTTTCTTAATTTAAAGAACATAACGTTTCATACTCTTAGGCACTCTCATAATAGGCATTACTCCCATAATCTGGAACAGTACTAGCAAACTCTTTGTAGTCATGTAAAAGCTGTCATGTTGATCTAAAAGGGCTGAATCCTCGTCAGTTATTTCAGGACCATAAACATCCTTCGCTTCGTAATCTAAAAATTAAAACAACAAAAACATAAATGAATTTAAGTGGTATATTTAATAATTTTCTACGCTCCCTCATAAACATTTTAAATCTACTGCTTGATATAAAACCTTTTTTTTTTAAGAATTTGCTCTAAATAATGAATTTCTTAATAAGCTATTCTCTTAAGGATCCATTCTCCAAGGGTTGTTTACCATCAATAACCTGTAGAAATTGGTTTAGGTTGATTTGCAATTTGGTATTTTGATGAGTTTTTCTCTAAGCCTCGTTCGTTATTTAGCAGGTTGAGGTTTTTTTAAGTTTTAGTGGTATTTTGTTATTTTTTGTTTTTCAATCATACATATTTAAAAATATATATATATTTATAAATTTATTTCTATTCCAAATAAGTTAAACGCCTTGGTTGCTATAGTGATAACATCGCTTAAATTTCACACGGAGCAAACTAAGTTCAGTTTCCGTCGACACCAATAAAATTGTTCATTGAAATTTTATGCGCCAACTTTACGAGCTCGGAGGTTAAGGAACACATCGAAAGGACACTTGAGTAATATAAGATAATGCAAAAAAAACGTGAGAAATATTCAATTTTATATTAAAGTATAATGTTCTTTTCCAGTATTACAACGCATTAGAACTTATAGAACTAATATAGAACAATATAATGCCCTTTGCACAATAAATAAAAACAAGTTACAATAAAAAAACATAGGGAGGAAATAAGAAGTGATCATGTTGATAAACTACAATTCCTTCTAGACAACCTACAAGAAGAAAATAAAGAGGATAGAGTGCACGGTAAATACTATTATGATCCAAAATATATAATAATTAGATAACGCTCTTGTAATAACAGATCGAAGACAGAAGGATAAATTAGAGGGAAAGATAATGTTCCTATAATTGGTCTTTAAAAGAACAAACCTTATAAAAAACGTTTTTATGCCGAAAATCATTACCTGGCAAATCCTTTCCATTTCTTTTTTTATTTATTTCTTTTTTCCACATCTCATCTTTTTGGTGAGGATTATAAATTCTAAAATTGTTACTATCACGATTCATTACTGGATTTATCTAATTAGGCAAAATTAAAAGACGCTGTCTTGAGTAACGTCAAAGATAAGCGCGTGGTGCAACTCTGAAAGCTTGCGGTAACTAAATACGCAGTAATCAATCATAACCCGCCCTGCTCCCTTTACTTGGTAATTTTCGTTTCACAAAGGCTATGAAATATGGAGTAAACTGTGTTTGTGAATTTTTACTCTTTTTTTAAACGTTAAGTGTTATTCTCTTTCTAATTTTATTTTTTCAAATATAGTTCAAATGCCAATTAATTATAAAAAAGTTTTGTGTGTCATAAAAACTGATAGATAATAGAAAATTGTTCTAAATTATTTAATAAAATGTAATGAATACATCGCTTTATTATACCTATAATAATTTGAATAAGATTTTAAACCATTTAATAAAAAATGCTACGAAAATTACTCTAAAGATGTCTTTAGTCTAATTTTCCTCAAACGCGATGTTTTGATGACGTTGCAACGTCGAACGAAAGTCATTAATTCATATCTAACTATAATAACGGCTTTTCAAAGTAAAGAGTCAATATAACGACCATTAACGATGTTTTTTTTTTTGACAAAACGTTTAATAATTTTCAAGTGATGCAATTGATATGTTACAACATGTTGTAGTGATCTTCGGAATTTATTTTTTCAGTTAATTTACAGTTCCCGAATAGAAAGAGCCATAATTAAACTTTTGCTTAAATTTTTAGTATATCGATCCAATTCTAAGCGGTTGGAATCCTATTCTGCCAAGGTCTTCATCTGGATAGATACCACAACCAAACTTATTTTTTCCACCAAATCGCTATTGCTAGCAATGGTGTTCCAGCCTAAGGGGTGTAGAAATCCAGTACAATTAAAGGCCGTGAGGCATTCCGCTGTAGTGTTCAGAGGTGACAACGCACCAATAGCTTCTTTCTTTGTAGTAGGTTTTTTATAGAATAAGCGTGACAAACGAGCACACAGGTACAACTCTAGGTAAGTGGATGCTGTGACCCATAAAGATTTCCATTTATCCTTGATTAAGAATTAAAACGCAGATGCGTCGTCACCCTTGAGGACTAAGGTAGAATGCCTCGTTTACAGTGAAAAAGTCTCCGGATCTCTACACTCACCATAGGAAACACAGCAGTATTGTGCTCCTATTTTACAGTAAATAATAAAAAGAATATGATTGCAGGTATTCGTGAGCTGCAGTAGACACTTACCACCAGGTGAACTTTTAGTTGCGGCCTGGCGTTTACTGCCACAGATCCCTCGTGCTCTCTGAAACAAAGATTTACCCACGGTAGCTAACTGTGAAGGATGTTGGTGAGAATCACCGTTCAAATATCTACTTCTACGGGTCTCACTCACACATGTGTATACTCCTGTGTACAAACTTGATTGTGAATGTGGTCTCTCTATTACATAGGACAAACTAAAAGATCAATCAAAACCAGCGTTAAAGAAGATGTAACTAATGTGAAGAATCGACGTTCCGGGAGGTCTGCAGTATGTGAATACGCACAGGATTTCCCCCGTCACTACATCAAATTTAATAGACCAAAGATACTCGCTAAAAACACCGATTCCTTCCAAGGTTTATTCGCGAGGCTATTGAAATCAAAAAACATCCTAATTTCAATTGAGAAGATGGCAGGGTGCTACCATCTGCTAGGGATCTTACAACAGCATAAATATAAGAAATCATTCTTCAAACCTACTTTAATTACACGGTAACTTTATTCATTATGTCTCGACATTTCGTCTTCGCAATAATATCCAAAAGATAAAGTTTTGACGTAAACACCATTTGTGACATTAGATACACAAAACAAGATGCAAACACTTGTACAACAAATATCAGTGCTACTAAAAGCTTGCATTTGTAAAATTCTCATCTTCAGCACACTGTAATGCTTAGTCACATTTCCTTGTCACACGTCTCTAATTTATAACCCGGTTTTCGCTCAAGCTCTACATATTATACAAATCGTCGGTTTTCTTGATTAAGTTTTTACTGCTCGAACATTTTAACCGCCAACCGCAGTCATCCACTGCCGTTGTTTTATAATTTCTCCTCTGTCTTCTTTTGGCTTAAGTAAATCAATTAAAACTATTTCACGTGAAAATTACCCAACTATTGTCACATATGTGGAGTACTGCTGTCACAAAGGGGCTTATGCTGCAATAGTATACAGTGGCGTTGAATTTAGTGAAGAGGCGCAGTAAAAGCTTATTGGTGACTTTTAATTTACTTGAAATTTATTTTGTCAGTCTCGAGCACAGGCGCAGAGAAAGGAGTCGAACCAAATACTTTGCTTCGTCGTTCGTAATGCGTACAGCAAAGGAGTGAAATAATTTGCGAGCTTCTACTTTCCTTCTGATAACAATCTTGGCCATCTTCAAGGCAAGAGTGAAGAGGCTTTTGATTTCTTAGACAGGGCGATTTACTGCTAAGTCTTCATCAACGCTTACTTACATGTGGGATTGTAGTAAAGCTCTGGTTTTATTATTATTAGAATATCTTTTTTAGTCATGTTAAATTGTAGTATGAAAATCACTTCGACTAAGATCCATTGCTCTAGTACACATCACATAAAAAGTATCCTTCAAATAAAAATTACGCTGGTGTGTAATTTAATTTATAATACGTAATAATAATAATTTTTTGAATCCATGTTCCAGTATCTTGAAATACCGTTTATTTGAATTTATTAATAATTATTTGAATTTATTTTTAATATTTTTATTTTCTTATGCTTGTAGTAAACTGTGAATCCAATTGCATGCGCATCACAATATTTAAGACCCAGAGCTGAGCCGAGTCATTGTAACACCATGACTCAATATATCACATTAAACCCTGAGGTGCTGCAATTCTAATTAATTTCAAGGTAAGTCGTGCATATGCTAACGAAAATAAAAATCAGGCGATAAAAGAATAACGATGTACACAACATAAGCATGTTGAGTTACTGCAAACACTAGTGATAGTAAATCATAGTATTCTAACCAACTTTTGATAGCTATCGTATCCCACTATTACTCATAATATGAAGTGTGTATGTCGTTACTTTACGTTTAATATCTGATTTTTTTTTTGGAAATCGTGTGTTTTGGAAATTATATTTAGATACAAATTAAGTACTATATTTTTTATAGGATAGGGTGACAAACGAGCACACAGACCACCTGATAGTAAGTGGTTGCTGTGTTCCATAGACATCCCACGAAAGTTGCGTTGTCACCCGTGAGGACTAAGATAATCTTCGTCTTCGCCTCGTTTCCAGTAAAAAGGGTCTCCGGTTTTCTACACTCACCATACGAAACACAGCAGCATTAAGCTACTATTTGACGCTGGTATTCTGTGAGAGAGCGTGGTCCTTCCCCGGTCGAGCCGACCCATTCGTGCTACAACTATACTACTAATATAACTGCAATATGGCTCTACCACGTATAAAATATAATAATATTTTTTGATCTTACCGACATAATATAAAAAACTGTGAGGCTCGGGCACCACGTGACGCTTAAGGGAGCTTCGGCCCATGTACTGGAGGAAACCGTGTGGCAGGATCATCGTTCCCATCGCATCAGGGAGGTTGCAGCAACTACAGTTCGCGATCACAATAAAGGGTACAGTTCTAGGTGCTTTGGTTGTGGGGAGAGAGGCCATCTTCGATTCAACTGCCCTAAGCAAACTCTATAAAGGGAAGGTGATCGATTTCAAGGGGGTAGTGCGGCTAACGGCACCGCCTAGCAGCACCAAGAATACGACTTCGTGGTTAAACATCGCAGCTGGAAATCTCATGGCAACGCAGATGCATTGTCAAGAAGACCTTGTCCTGAAGATTGCAAGCATTGTACTAGGCAAGAGGGTAAGAAAGTGGTCTCTGTGAAGATGCTCAGGACAGACCACCTCAACATCGAATGGAAGGATAGCTTAAAACATGCACAGCAGGAAGATCCAGCTGAAGAAATTGCTGCATACCAATAAGACCGCCTTTTATTTTTCTCTTTGTTTGTTTCTTGTTACGTTGTATTTTTTAGTGTTCAATAAAGTGTATTGTATTCTATTGTATCCGGACATAAAGCCGATTCTGGAATGGATGAAGGCCCGTGCTTCCAAGCCCAAGTGGAGTTACATCTCAGCGATGAGCTCGACCACGAAAAGCTATTGGACCCAATGGGACAGATTGCTGGTTCAGGATGGAGTTCTGTGCCGTAAATGGGAAAATGGTCGAGTAGATAGCTGTCATTTGCAAATGGTTGTCCCTAAAGCTAAAGTACCGGATGTTCTGCAGCTGTACCATAATGGTTGCTCAGGAGTCCATCTGGAAGTTAAACGAACTCTACAGATGATCCGAGAACGTTTTAATGGGTCCATTGTCGAGACGATGTTGAGGACTGGTGCCGCAAATGTACAAGTTGTGCGGCTGTGAAGGGACCTCAGACTCGTAGTAGAAGTTTATTGAAATTGTACAGTGATGGTGCACGATGGGAGAAGATAGCCTTTGACGTTGCGAAGCCGGTTTCAGAAAAGTGCAAGAGGTACTCCTAAGATCGTCCATCGGCTGGCGCGTTATTGTGGGGCCGATAATGCTCGGTACGAGCATGTCTTAGGGGGGGGCAGTGTTGCGAGCCATAGCTGATGCCGATAAATGCCTCTAGTATCGATTAGCAGGCATTAAGAGAGCTTTCTAGAAAATGTCGTGCTTGAACTTTCCATCTCCAGCGCCATCTAGTATCGAGTGGCAGATCTAGGAGAGAACTTTCTACACTTAGTCGGTTCGGACCGGTGTATGCTCGAACATTCCGGATGTTTCAGTGGGAAAGGTCGTATATAAAGTCGGTTAGGAGCGCGACCGGGGCAGTATGAATTGGCGACACAAGCGAAGACTTAGGAGCGAAAGAAAGTGATAAGTGTGATTAATTATTAGTGTATCTTAAGTTTTGATTGGTGTTCGGTAATTAAAGTGTCAGTTTTAGTAATTTAATCGGCAGTTT